TTATATCCTTTTCAATAATAATTACGATAATAATATAATACTAATTAGATTTTTGTGTTTTGAAGAATCTATATTCAGTTCTATTTTTATTCCAACATCCTTAAATCATTTCTTGATTCAGTCGTGGGTGCAAAGTGCCGTTAATTCGACCCTGTTCTTACGTCATTGCCGCCCTAGGATGCAATCCCCTCCCTGTACGCTTTTACGTCATTGCCGGCAACTGAAACACTGAGCTTTTTCGTGAATGAGATCTCGCTGGGAAAAAGAGCGGCCGCTGCACGCCGACATGAAAGATAAATAGGAAACGAAAAAAGAAGGATCGTAAAAACCGCGGCCACTAATAAATCCGGCTGTAGCGATTGTTACCTTTACGACTGCCCGTTTATTTTTTTTTCCTTTTTATTTTCTATTTTTTCGATTTAACTCGTGGTATTCATCCCGGTGTAATTTCTGGGTGGTGCTAGCTTGTCCACCGATATCGAGAATACGTCGACGAGGCGGCCGATTATTAAATTTCGATACTGCTGTGTGCGGTCGACTTTTTATACCGCAACTCGACATGCAATGACGCTGAAATTTCACTATCTCTTGTTGCAGTAAATTGCATAAAATATGATTAATGTCTATCTCTAATATATTATAATTATAATGCGTTTTAATTATTTTCATTGCAATATCCTAATTGCGTACCTATTATTAGAGAAATATTATCTTTTGATTATCATAAGCCGCAATAAGTAAACAATAATTACTATTATATATTCTAATGTAGTGGAATATAATTTGGCCTAAAATGAAAATTGAATAATAATAAACAATATTAAAAATAGAGTATCTCAATTATTCTAATAAAGCGTGAAATACAATTTTTATAATAAAGCGTGAAGTACAATTATTATAATAAAGCGAAATTTATCTTTCAAATTTATATATCATGTTTTATATTAATTAAAACAAAAAATTATAAGAACTCTAATTTTTGACAATACGATAAATTATATAAAATACAATATCAAATATACATTTGCCATTAAAGTATCAAATTTTTTCACTCAATTAAAATTGAAATTGATTAAAAGTCGTGGCTTGCATAACGTGTGTAAGCAAAAGTTTAATTATATAAAATAAATTTATTAATAAGACTATTAATTAATAATAAACAAAAAAGAAAGATTAAAGGGAAAAAGATGAAGAGATCCTTTAAAAATGAACTAGAGATCAAACTTCTAATACGTCTAATCCAAGTCACGTCCAAGATCAATATTTCATAACGAAAAAAACTTTCATCGCGCGTCCACGCACACAATAAAATATCCCTCTGAGGAAGATCCGCAGGTGAAAGTCGGCATAAACATCTTTTATTGGAAAACTTTCCTTCACCGTCTGGTGACGAGACTGGCTACACAACGAAGCGAGCGAGAGGAGAAAAGAGAATATAAAAAGGCGGATGTGACGGGATGTGCATATAAGATGCATCCCAGAATATATTGACTTGCAATTCCGAATATGGCACGGCAGGGCGCAATTGAGAATCCTTATGCAATGCGAGGAGCGAAATATTTCTGTTTCTATCCCCGATGGAGGATGAACCGTGAACCGATACGAACGTGCTATATCGTATAACGCTTTTTTTGATACACGTAACTTTTAACCCTCTCGTTTAACTCTTTGGGTTCGTTTCATCCCTCTTTCTCTCTCTCTCTCTCTCTTGACCTGACTCTCTCCCTCCCTTTCTCTTGCTTCGTTGTATCCATCTGATATTTAGACCATCTCGTGTACGGCGTATTTGCGATGCGAGTGAATATCGAAGGGCCTTTCTGGCATATAAAAAGGCTACGTAAAGCAAGCCATCTGCATAGGAAATTTGAGATTTAAAATATGAGGTCGCAAATGCAACATTGAATAAACCATGATGCCGAGGGCAATGTATCGTTAAATTAACGGCAAAGTCCAGATCAAGTTTCCGTTCGTGCAGCGGTTTTTTCCACTCGTATTCGCGGCAGGAATATATCGTAAATATATATGTGAAAATATGGATATTCGATGATATACAAACTATATGCAAAGCATTTTATATTTAAGTTGCATATTGGTTTTAATTAAATACGTTTTAATAAATCTAGGATGTGTGTGTGTGTGTGCGTGTGTAAAACATAAAATGTATTTTTATTACGTAAATCATAAAATTGTGAAATATTTACGGAAAATCGTTATTTCTACTTCTAGAAAACTTATATCAATTTTATATATGTATTTTCTGTATAAATTGATCGCACACGAAATTGATGTGTCGATATTGCGACTCTGATCGTTTCCTTTTCGCAATTTTTATATCAAAATAATAACAAATTGATAAACATTATAAAAATTAATTTTCTCATTGTGAATATCTTATATAAATAAAATGAAGCGAAATGAATATTATTTAAAATTCTCGCATATAATACCATTTGTACAACATTTCGATTGCATGATTAATGCATTAATGAACTCAATAAATTTCAATCCGACCAATTAGTTACTTACCGTTGATATAATTCTAGCACCAATATGTGTTAATCATCATCACATGATAATCTTGAACGATCAGCTTCTGATATCATTTGCTAGGAAAATGTGAATTAGTAATTAATGCTCGCGCTTTTATTTGCATTAATGTGCGATTAACAACGATTTATCATAAGAAAAAGAAACTCGCATTGACTGTTGCTAATTGTCACCTATATCCTAAACAGCAACAGCGATCTAGTTTATCGACTAGCAACCATGCTCGAGTTGATTATAACAGATGAGGGTATCTCGACAAAAGTATTTTATACATTATATAATTAATAAATGTTTGTATGATGATATTGCTTCGTCGGTTGTTTTTCCGTTGAATTATAAATCATCTGTTGCTATACCTTTATAAGATTCTATCTTTAAAATTTATTATTTAATATTAATAAAATTTATTGATTTCACGTGTCAATTTAAAAGTAAAAATTTAGAATTTTTATAAATAATAATATGTAGATAATAATATAGAATCAATTTTTTCTATATATTATTATTTATAACTATATATCTTCAAATAATTTAGTGACTAACTGGAAAAAAGTCAAAAGAATTGTTATAACACAGCAGCAGAATACCTTTGAGAAGATAAAATGCATTGTCAAGAAATAGCAAGGAAAATATGAAAATAATATATCATAATTTATGGAGACGCAGTGTTGTGGAAAATAAAGGATGCATGTGTTACGGATGAAGATAAACATTAAAATTCTGAAATCAGTGTGCATATATATAATCTATTATATGTAAAACATCGCACAATATTATAATTAATATCGTACAAATTCATTATGTTGGCATTATATCGAAATAACAATAGCATTGACATCATTATATCTAGTTTATGCGTTCGTTCCATGTATCACGTTACATGTGTAATTATGATACATATCATCTTATCGATAAATATGTATTGAGATCCCACCTGTATAATGTTAAAGCTTCCCTCGCGCTTCTCAAATAATTACCAAAGTCATTTCAAAAGCAACAAATAATAATATAAATCGTTTACTTTCAAAATAGTGTAAGTTTAACTGCAATAATTTTTTTTCAAAATCAATACATATTCTCTATTAATATCCTTATAAATTTCAAAAATAACTCACACAGCTTTGAAAATAAGCGTCTTATTTTCTTATTATTTTTATATTGCACACTTATTTCAATATATCGCATATAAATATTTTTCCTTAGCTTCGTAGAAAATTTACGATGTAAAATCCTATGAAAAGAGAAGACATTAAAAGATGTACATATACAAATAAAAATTCGCGCGCACCGTACTAAATATCACATTATATACAGCTGTCTGTCTTTTTGCGAGGGACTAGCTTAATTCCATTTCGCGTTGACGAGACTGTCAGCGAATTACAATTACATGTATCGTATTGCACAGATGCAGCTGTTATATACGCCTACACGTGTACTAGTGCAAGTTACATTACACAGTATGTGAAAAAACAAAATTGTCGTCTTTTATTATATGTCGTGTATTTTTTTTATTTCTTTTCATTTTTTAATATTTCATTCTCCCCTTTCGTATACTTTCTTCGTGTGTATTTGAATGTGTTTATTTAGCTATTATAGATATCATCAAAATAATTCCCATAAATAATATATAGCCGCGAAAATAAATTTTCATTCGTTTTCGATTTACTGCATAAATGCAAACTTCACGCGCACCGTACAAAAATTATCAGACCAAATTCAAGATAATTACCTATATATATACAACTTTGTACAAATATTTTAAAAGATAAAATGAATATGTACATACAACAGGCTCAAACAAGAGAGAATTTGCGAGTGTACCTAATCTAACCAAAATTTTCTTTCTCTTTCTCTTTCTTATTTGTTTTTTCGATCATATTGCAATCAATAAATAAGGAGCGTAACAACATATGTATGTATGTGTGAAATAATGTCTTATAAGAAAAAAAAATTATTATATATCTTCACATACAATATAAGAAATAAAAAAATAAGCACAATTAAAATATTATTAATCACAGCATATGATTAAAAGGGGAATAATTAAATCAATATAAAGTTTTAAAACTTATATTCTTCTAAATCATTTTATGAAAATTTCATTCATGTAAATATTGTTTTTCTATCTTATTCGTGTGTCGATTCTAGTTTTGATTGGTCAAATAATAAAAATCACGACAAATAAAATTAGTAAAAATTAGAATTGAGACAATAAATCAATAAAAATTTTTAATTTCTTTTCGTATTTGTATTATTTTCTGTACTAAATGTTTCATGATTTATTATGCATATATCTTTATCCTCTGTGTACGAGAGTTTAAACATGTATTTCAATGCATTTAACCGAATGTACTTTATTACATCTAATATTGTTAATTTTTCTTATATTATTATATTCTTTATATGTATGTGTATATGTATATGTACAAGAATAATAATTTTCCTCGTACATATATAATAATAATAATAATATTTTTTCTTAAAATGTGTTATTAATTTAGTTATGCTCCTCACCGTACGTTGATCTTTCATACATTTCTTCTCTATATAATCAGGAAACAAACTCTCCGCTCCATTTTTTTAAGAGAACTCACATTTTCTTCTCATATCTTCTTTGAAAATGAGAGATCAGTAAGTTCTTCAACATTTTTTTTTATTTTTACATTCGCTGCACGATCTATCATCTGTGCGGACAATAAGGAACATGTGGAAATAGGTGACAATGAATGGATTTGAATCTGAAACAAAAAATATAGTTATGGTTAAGGGACTATTAACAATTCGAAATCAGAAATGTGTGATAAAATCAAAGTTAAATAAATTTTTACGTAAAAACATACTTAATATATTTGTTATTGATATTTTTAAAAATAAAATCTAAAATATAATCTCTAAAAAATCAATTTCTTTGCATTAGTAAACGTAATTCTCGACATACTGAAGAAAAAGAATCAACTAGTATCGTACAAATATTTTATCTATTCCAAAAGAATATTAGATTTTAATGCAAGATTCTGTTTAATCTTCATAGTGGAAATTTTTCGCATAAATCCGACAGACTTCGATGAATGCCTCATGCAAATATGATCAATAAGATCAATGTAGCAAACTTGTAATATAAACTTTTAATAAAACGTCATCTATGAAAAGCAGCGAGAGGAAACAAGACATGATTTAATATCCGTAATACGTGCAGTCTCGATGCACAAGCCATCGAATATATTTACAGCAACTTGATTCTGATATTTTTCTCGTTAATATTCAAAAACGCGAAACTTGACTTTTTCCTCATAATACTAAGTAAAAAATCCCAAAAGATATTTGCAGCAAGCGACGCGAAAATTTACATAGGAAACAAACCATTTTTCCTGACTCGACGGAATTAAAAAGCAAAAACAGTGGAAGGAACAGAGGATCGTGAAAATCACAATTATTACAAAGTCAATTAAAACTTACAAGATCACACTGCAATGTCGTCCTCGTAATTACTCATCTCTCTTCCGTCTTTCACCGGTGCTAATTATACGAAAGAAAACGTTCCGAGAGATATTTCGCGCATATGCATTAATGAGAATGCTAATTACAGATGTTTACTTAACGTCACGTAGATTATACATGTCGTTTCACAAAATGTCATTTTATACTCGCGCGTAAACATGGAATTATTAAGCTGAAGAAAAACAAATTACACTAATCTATTATTGGAATGCTTCTCAAAAGATATACATCAAGCATGTAAATAATTAAGAGTAATAATCTAGAATATAATTTTTTGTCTACTATTTCTCTCTTAATTTTTAAATAGAAATTATTTTATATTATAGATATTTAAAAGTTAAGGGTAATAATAATTCTCAATAATTTTCTTAATCTGTATACGCTCTCTAATTAATTAATCTGTCATGAAATATATCCATAATATCCCAAATAAAGATATCTTTTTCAATTAAACAATGTATACATGTAAAGAAAAAACGATGCGAAACAGATGCAAAATAAATGTTGCAGCGTTTTGCAACATTATATAACTTTTTTTATGAAAACTACTTTTCAATTTAGTTATTTCTCTTAAAGAATTTCTTACGGTGTTCAACCGACATTCTACGCGAGCACTCTAGGTGAAGGTGGCAATTATAGAAGTAATTGAGGCTTTGATGTGCAATGTTGCGTCAGGAAAGAGGAGATTCAAAGAAACAGGAAATTGAAGATTACCAACAGAATTTCTCGCGTTCTACCATGAAAATAATTCAATTTAGATATCTATATTTTTACAAAAACTATTGGCGCTGTTCAGAATTCACGAATAAATCAATCGAAATATAAAAAAACATAAAAGTAAATAATAAAAAAACATAAAAGTAAAAAAAATAAAATTAATATATAAAATAATGCTATATACCTCTTTGGATCATTCTTCATGTCAAAACCATCAATTTTCAGGATGTTCCATTCATCTCTAGGTCCTTTAGAATAACTAAAAGAGACCTGGAATACAAACATAAAAATACTTTAAATCGCCAAAGATCTTTAATTTCTTTAGCGAAAGATTCTTGTATATCACAAACCGAGCCACATATGATGTTGAAAGTGACTTCATTTATTTTGACATCGCATATACATGCTCGTTTGTTCGTATATTCTGCGCAATATGAGATCCTAAAGTATAATACCGGTCGTGAAAGAAAATATCTTTTATGCCAATATTTTGCATACATCACGCATATTTTCGCCGACCATGCGATCGCTTATATACATTGTAAGTCGATCTTAACGATTTTATTATAATGTATTGACGAACAATTTATAAATAATTTACAAATTATTTTTATAAGATTATGAAAATAAAAAATTTAAAAATAAAATAATTTTTAATATATCATATATATTTTTAAGATATTATTTAAGATATGGTATATATTAAGATTATTTTATAAGAATAAGAAATTCTTCAAATCGATCGAAGAAATTCTCATCTTTGAAATTAATAAATAATAATTTAAATAATTTAATATTAAATAATTTAATTACATGTGATAAAAATGTTTTATCAATTTTTAAATAATAAACATGTTAATTAGATTTTCTATCTTCTCTGTCAAAAAGAAGCATTTACATTATCATATTTCATCATATTTATGCATATATGTATGTAATGTTATATGTATGTAATGTTATATATAAACGTATGTCATATTTATGCATATATGTATGTAATGTTATATGTATGTAATATTATATATAAAATATATGTATGTAATGATGACACAAAGAAGAATGCATCTGGGACAATTTAGTTAATATCTGTCGGCGACAGGACATGTATTTTTTCATATGCTTGCGATTATGCTCTTATTACGATACGTGGTCTGAGAACTTATAATAAACTAGGATTAAATAATAGCTATTGCATTACATAAAATAAAACAGACAATGCACTCGGTGCGTGTGGTCTGATTCATCATGCGCTTCAAATCATTCTATTATTCATCCATTATTTATCATCATGCTATTTATCGTGACCCTTATGCATACTCAGAATATTCCCGTGCATTAATTTCGGCTATTTATATCTTGTATTATAACAACAAATATTTTTGCATGTATTGAAATTGTGATGAATATTTAGATATCATGAAACATAAAGCTTTCTTAATCTAAGGAATTAGATTTGCAAAATTTCATTCGCAAGATTCCACGATGAGAAATCTTATTCCGAATAATCCGATATACAGTGTTCTCTTGTCAATAACAAAGTAGAGAGAGAAGTTCGCTTAGATTAAACAACAATTATATAATAATCCGCGTTAATTCTCACACGCTCTGCATTTAGAATCTGCAAACTTCCGCATTCTACTAATTCCTTTATATATAAATTATTAAATATAATTAACATTTAGAATTTAGTTCTGGCAATCAAATTTTTTATGAAAAGAGATAATACCATTTGTCACTCGGGATAAAATTTAAAAAATGACGACTTGACACGTTGCTTAGTTACCTGCTCGTGAAAGGTATCCTTGTTCAGGAACTTCATTGGTTCCAGGTGCGAGTGGAATTGTTCTACGACTGTGAGTTGCTTTTTCAGAAGATATTCGATAATGTATCCCATCGTTACATCGTCTGGCAATCTAATTCTGTCGCCGACGGTGATAAATTTTCCTCCGCTGGAAACAAACGTAAATATTCGAAATTTATTATTTGTACATATGTACATTTATGTAAATAGAAAATATGTATTACATGGGCTGTTTGAATGTATATACATATTATAATAAAAATTAAAATCTTCGTATTTCTTTTAAAAATTCTTCTATATTTTTTAAATTTTATTTGCTACAAATTTCTAATAAGAAAAAAATGTTTAAATTAGAGCAATTACTACAAAGCAAAATACTCTAAAGAGAAGTAGTTTGTGTAAGTATCTCTTTAGTGAAACTGACAGTTTCTTTCTTTCTTTTCTCTTTTTCTTTAATTCAGTCACGTGTTTATGTGCCCTTAATCCGCTGCGACGTGTATGTAGGATTAACCCGTAGGATTATCTCGTGTAACACTTTTAGCTTTCTGTGCTCTCTTTCGATCCTGTCAGAATGTACGGTGCACCGCGTCCATTGCGAAGAATATTATGTATGAGAATTCTCCGGTATTTATTACTTTTTTTGACGAGTGTCTACGAAAGTAAAATAAAAAGAGAAATGGAGTGAAAGAGAACAAAATAAAATTTATGTTTTGAAACTCCTTTTTTTGAAAACATATATACATATGTATAGTTCGAATATTCAAATATGATATAATTACAATGCTAAAAATATTGTAAAATATATAATTATAATTCTAAGATTATTATTCTTATACAAAATATGATGTATGAGTATTATATGCAATAAATAATATATAAATAGTTATGAACAGACTCCTATATATTGCACTTCTTGTATACTTGTTAACAATCATATACAAATTATTTCACAAACTTATTAAGAATTTTAAAATCAAATTCCTTGGTATTGAAAATTCTTTTTTTAATGTTTTGTTTTATAATAAATGTCTCGTTAAGAAATATTTATATAATGATTTTTAAAGGGTCTAAGATTAACATCGTGCATAAATTACTAAATACTAAATGTTGAAGATTCAAGCGTCGTAAAGCCAATCATAAAATCCTCGCTATCCGACTATTCTTTCTTTTTCAACGAGATAGAAAGAATGAATGTAGAAAACGTAATATCACCGAGAGTCGGAATTCGGATTGGAAATCTGATAGTCACTGTCACAGAAGAAGATGGAAAATCATTAAGCGTCGCTGTAACAAACTTAGTCACTTCGACCAACGATCTTCGTTCAGATATATTGTTAAGATACAGCTTAGCTGGTGAGATAAGTCGTGCTTTATCGAAACTTCATCTGTATTTATTTTGTCCTTCCATTTAATTACCTAGAAGACGCAGAGCGACGAACTTAACGAGTCTCTTTCAAAATAATCGCCTCACTAATACAAGCGAATTAAAAGGTATAAAATTTTTCATTGTAAATTAATTTTTATAGTTCAATTTTCATAATTAATGTAATAGATAAAATATAATAAAATATATTTAAATTGTCGGAACATTTTAAATTAACTTTAACGCTACAAATGTAATAACTTTTGCATACGATATCCTTAAATTAATTTAAAAAGTTCTGACAAAAAAGTATATTTTCAAAAAAAATAATCGCTTTTTTATCGGTCACTACATTTTTTAATGTAATAAATATCTTCAGAATTAACGTTAAATTGATAATCATCAACTTAACCATCTATAATAATTAACTTAATCCAACCTAATCTAACTTAACTAAAAGAGCTATAAAAAGATTGAACAAATATACAAACGCAATTTATCGATTATGTGCTTCGATCGTTCGCCGTTCGCTTATGGGTATCTGTTATACGAAATAATTATCGGCCGTTGCGTACCAAGTAATTAACTCATTTCCATGGATGCACCTTATGCGTCCGCGCGTCTGCAGAAGCCGTCCGTCTCTCCTCGCTAACCCTTTCGCAACGGTCGTTCATCCGCGCGCGGCGAGTTATAGGGGGGAGGGGGGGGGGAGAAAAAAAACGGAGACACGTCACGGAACCGCGGGACAGGGTCCCCGGCGGGAATAAATTACCGGACCTGCACACACCGTCCCGAAAGTCACGCGATGCCGACTAAGGTCCTCGAGTCTTTCGCGTGGCACCCGACACGCATGCACGATTAAGGTCGGCCGGAAATGCGGCGGCACAACGCTGCCAATGCGAAAGTCGCTCCTGGGTACAGGCAGGGATATGTAGAGAGAAGATTGTTGCAAAAAAAATTGAAAAAAAAAAAGATTGAGTTGACTCGATAGGCGACATCACGATGTCGAGTCGGGAAACAAGAGCAATTGTGTACCTTGATTCCATTTTGTAAAATTTCTATGGAGACAATGATAATGTTAATCTAAATATGTAAATTGTATTAAATATTATACATATGATAAAATGAATAATAAAACATTATCATAAAATGAGTAACAAAAATGAACAGAAATTAAAGTGATGAGTTCGTTTCATTCATATGTCGTTTGTTCTGTAGCTGGAATAAAAACTGCTGTTTCAATAATTCATATACTTATAATTACCCAATTTATCTAATACATTTAACCTACGCAGAGTGTATTTTATTATGTCTCCGTTCATTTAAAATGATTATTTTTTTGTGATAGATCTCTATATTTCATTAGGACTACGTTTTGCTGCTTGCTCAATCTACGACTTAGTCCACGATGTCTCGCTATCTGCAGAAAAAAGACCGCTCCATCACCCGCAAATACGCGATAACCAGTAATTCGATCATTCAGCCCCATAAATAACTCGTGCAGTCTTGGGGGATCGATCATCGCGCATGTGAAACATTAACGTTCATTTCTCACCGTCATACTCTTCATTAATCTCGACATTAATCAAAAAGGATGAATGCTAGAGCACGTTTCGCCCGCAAAGTAACGATCGCTTTTCACATAATAACGCGCACGTTTGACGCGATCGTTATTTTAAAATCTAACACATTTACGATTAAACGGGAGTTCTCCCTCGCGACTCGCAATTCATGAAAGATGGGACGCAAAAATGATAAAAGAGCTCGCGATTTCGGCTTCGCGTGATGCGAATAAATACTTAATTGGCGGATCGACCACGACGATGACGACGAATGACGATAATGACAGTAACCGCAACAAGAAGACCGAGGAACTTTAATTCGGCTGCATTCCACTTATGTAGATTAGGTCGAGTAAGAGGCACCTGCTGCCGTTACTCGATCTCTACTGCCTCAAACTGGTTGGCATTAAAGCTACGTCTCACATCTATTTAAGCGCGTGCAAAACGACACGCGATAATGAATTCCCGTCGATTAGTCCGCTAATCCGCGTTATCGGTTCGATTCGCCGTCATTAATCCAATCATCGAACACCATCGTCGACGATAACGATGATAACGTGGCCATAACCGACCGCAATCGGCAATCGCGTAGATGTAATGCGGAATTTACGCACGATTGATCGCGGAATTATTTTCGGATCGCCATCTCCATGACGCGAACATGTAGTTTCCATTAAGGAACGCGGAACCGATTCCTGGTAGCTTGTATCGTGCCGATAGCCCTCATTTAGAATCGCGCAAAACGCTTTTCGCGATCATCTTGGCTTGAAACTCCCGATAAAATATCGAGTGAAATCGCGTTTGCATGATTACATTTCGGTTAAGAGCCTCGCGATAGGTGGTCGCGATCTATCGCCGGGAAGGAGACGTCGAATCGACGGAGATTTCGACAAGCGAAGAATCGATGGCTGCGAACGCGAGGCGAGAGATGCGCGATCCACGACGGACATAAATCGTGCCAATTAGAGGCGACGGCAGGTAGTCACAACTTTGGTGACAGAGCCCATATATCGGCACCTACGTGAGAGAAAGAGAAAGAGATTGCCATAGACACATGAAGGAACACGAACCAACAAATGTTTCAAAGGAGCGCCGCCGGCACGATCCAAGATACACGAAAGGCCCGCAGAATGGGACGCATGTTCGGTATGTCGGACAATAAAAAAGGAAGAACTGCGACAAATCGAGCAATTAAATTAGAACTAAAGATTCTAGATTACAATTAGTAAAATTATAAGTAAATGCGACTATATATATAATCTTAAAATAAAACGAGAGCTCGAAATTTAATGGTTAAACCTCAAGATTAATGTTCGACACGGAAAAGTGACGTATGAAAATTGCAAGGGATACTTTTGGTGAACCATTGATGTTAATTTTGCTTGAAAATGAGATCCAATCGATTAATCTGATAGAAGCTTTCATCCGCGCTACGACAATACGGATTATCGCGCTTATTTGTTAGGCGATCATCGGGGACGTAATCCGACATCCCTCGCAGCATCGCGGTCGCTGAATGCGTGGAACCAGAATGCGTTTCTTAGGCTAGGTCGTGCACAACCTGCATACATTTGCGATGCAACGAGAGCCTTTCAACAGGCCGAACGGATGGAGGAAAAGAGGAAGAAGGAAAAGGGGGGAGCGCAGGTGCGCGCTCGACAGGATAAAATAAGGTAACGACGAAATGAAGTACTCGCGAAGCAGGACCACTACATCGATGTAATATTCTCTGACAGAGAGGACGTCATACTTCCGAATAATTTTGATAATTAAAGGTCCTTTAATTAACGAAAGCATTAATGAGACGAATGATTTTGCAAACGGTGCGAAAAAAGAAAATTGTCGTATTTATGTCTTAGAAATCAATCATTTAAAAAATTAGACAAACTATCATCAGGACAGTGTAATAAGTTGCATTCATCTTCTGTAACTTGCGCTAATATTCTTTTTTTATTTCAGAAATTAAATAAAATAAAAATTTATTATGCCTCGACATTGAATTACTACAAACACCAATAGTCTGATCAATCGTCAAATTAAATATATAATAATATCGGTATATATTATCCTGTGTACGAATTTGTAATTAAGAAATTTAATTTATTTAAACAATGATTTTTTAAGATTTCAAAGCGCTAGATAGGTTAATTTTTTAATATTGTTAGAAATCAAGCAACAATTCCTTTGGCGCTTTTTAGAAATTTTTAATTCGAAGTGAATCAA